CTCATTGTCCCTATACACCCCCAAATAAATAACACTGAGGGAACAACAAGTCCCAGCATGCCCACATTGTACCTGTACACCCCCCACATATCACCAGGGAGGGGGGGCAAAACTGCGTTCTGCCCCGGGCACCCGTACCTCTAGTTACGCCATTGATACCACTATTTTATCAACATTAAACCCTTATAGCTTCATTAGTGCAACAATGGGGAACACATTGGTATTAATGGCTAAAATTAAATTCAGCACTGGGTCAGATGACTAGTAGAGTTTACAAGAGTATATTCTAAAAAAACTGAAGGAACAAAAAAAAAAATCAGAATCCAGCTGCAATTTTCAGTCCAAATTGGAGAAATTACAGTTTGTATAACACCTTAAACCAGGGATGTCCAAACTCCGGCCCTCCAGCTGTGGTGAAACTACAAATCCCATGAAGCATCTCTCTGTGGGAGTCATGTCTGTAGCTGTGAGAATCTTGCAAAGCCTCATGGGATTCGTAGTTCCACCACAGCTGGAGGGCCGCAGTTTGGACATCCCTGCCTTAAACTATATCTGAAGGAAAAAAAATTCATTTTGGATACGGTAAAAGACAGTTAAATTTGTTGCCAGTTTTTCTTTAAGCCATCTTGTTATGGAGATGTCCCTTCATTTCCCATTCTGTAGACTTAACAGGAAATGAGAAGACATCTTTCAAATTTGAAAGCAATCCCTTCTTAGACAGGAAACAATTGTCCCCACTGGAATATTTCTCCTTTATTCCTGTTATGGTGGCAACTCAGTTGAATCAAAGTTTTGGATTTATCTTCACTTTCATTCTATTGTTTCAAAACAATAAGAAAGAGCGAGTCTCCCCATGGTGGAGATGGACAGAAATATAAACCTAAAAATAGTTTTAACCTCTCACCACTCTAACCAAATCTAAAAAAAAACAATTTGACTTAAAGTGACACTAAATCCAGGAGTTAAATTTTAGAAATGCATTCAAGTATTCTAACCATTAACAAAAAAGTATGTTATTTGTGTATTATCTCTGAATGTGCACTGACAAAGTGTGTGGTCAAATAGCCACTGCTCCAAGCTCTCCGACAACTATAATTTCAATACAAATTAACAAACTAAATGTGAGATTGTAGTCCATCATGGGAGCGAGCTTGGAGCAGTGGCTACTTTACAACACCCCCAGGGACCATGGGGAACAAAAGTAGTCACCCTCCAGAAGGAAGGACAGTGTCGGCACCAATTCAGAGATAATTTGAGGATGTACAGCCGAGTGATACACAAATTACATACATTTTTTGTTAATAGGGTACTTAAATGCATTTTTAAGATTTAACTCCTGCCTTTATTGTCATACTTTCAAATTTTTCTCTAGTTTTTTAGAATACCCCATAAGAGTAGAAGGACTAGTAGACATGTTCCTGTTGAAACATAATTTACAGATGTTTATGTTCACTAGTTATATCTCATCATTTTCATCAAAGTTATTTTCCTAGAGCAGTGAGTGTTATTTTCCTAGAGCAGGGGGGGGGGGGGGGGGGGGGACGCGGGTGCGCTCCCCCCCTCTTGCACCATACCAGCCTACATGCCCTCAACATGGTTGATGAAGACAAGGGTCTCTTCCCCACAACACTGGCCCGGTGTAGCAGTGGCCAGAAAGGCAAGTTCCTGACCTTTACTAGCAAAGACCTAAACCACTGTCTGCTGAATCCACCTGAATATAGCGGCCGACAAAGCAGCCTGTCCCCTCCAAAGAACCACTGCTTAGAAAACAATTGCACCAATGCCTCACAGATGTATTTCAGCCCCTGAACTAGCTGATCAGCTAAATCAACATATGCAGGGGAGACCTGCTTAAAAACTGAACCTTGGCACAAAGGTTTTGACCAAATGAGAGTTTGTGTAACCAAGGCAAGACCAGGACTGGCCTGCTCAAAGTTCCAGAAACTGTGTACATAGAGTGGGTGGCATTCTTGGCTTTCCTATCCAGGGGATTCTTCAATCGGAATATCTGTGGCCTTGTTAAGCCTGGAAATGGCGGAGAGAGGACCATTTCTTGACACGTTTCTCAAAAATATAGCACACTGTAAAACAACATAAAAGGGCAAGCGGGGCCAATCTTTGTAGATAAAGTCACCAAAGTATGGATCAAAAATAAAAACCTTAGAACCTCCTTTGCAGGTCTGACACCAGCTCCATTTTCTGTGCTAACTCAGTTGCTGGCACCTCATCCTTGCTAACAGAAGTATCCAGGTTTGGATCTGCTGCCACAGGGGCATCAGAGTCAGTGGCCTTGAACGTTTGACCATCGGAAACCTCAGTAGAGTAGGAGGGGGGCTTTCAAGAACTTTTCTGTGATAGGGTTTTATGGGAAACAAAGCCATCCATATCAGAGTGAAAGCCTTATGCAGAGAGACTAGGGAGGCAGGTGAGGCCTGGATTGCAGGGGAGGACTTGCAAGCAGGGCAGACCACTGCACCCAAGTGATTGCAGCAGGATGATTACCGCCCCCAGCACGGGATCACGAAGCCCCATTAAGTTAGTTCCCTAACAATGTTCCAGGTCACAGCCATGTGCAGCCAGTAAGGAGAGGAGCTGTGTAACAACTCTGCTATGCAGGCCTAGGATCACCACTGCGGAGTGGGATCTCACTGTCAGGTCAGCAAGTGGTCCCTTCAGCACTTTTAAATAAGAGTTCAAGACCTTTACATCATATCTGACCGTGGGTTTGAATTAAAGTTGTGGCTATGAACTAGAGTTGACAGGGTTAATGTGAGAGAGTGACACCCGGTGGTGAGCTCCGGTACTACCTTTGCTATGGCTTAATGGACAGCACATATAAAGGTTGTATCAAGCAGATATGTAATGATTGAGATGAATAAGATATCACATACATGTCCAGTATAACATCAATAGGTGGTAGACTAGATATATAAGTTTTTGAGGTGGAAACAGGTAATTTTTACTACTACCATTCAGATTTGATCTTACACAACGACCTAAGCACACTCTATAAAGGTTATATACAAATTTGACTAATCAAGATATGCAGTTCCAAAATGATCTGAGTTAATGGCAGACTAGCCCAGATACTTGCGGTTTAGGAGCCTCTATCTGAAATCCCTCCAATGGTCTCCTGTAGCTGAGTGTTACTTGCACCCAGGTGTCACTCCTCAAAGTTTAGGTGGAATTGGCTGAGAGGTGCTCCGGTTCTGTGGGGTTCACCCACGATGGTGTGCTGAGGCAATGCTGCTCTCGGTCCGCCTGTACGGTCTGCGGTTGCAGAGCGTGAATCTTCGGCGTTCACTGTTGCAAACAGTAGGACGCCGAAGATTTGTTTGGCCTCGACTTAAAAAGCCTGTTGCGCCTGCGCCGAAGGGAGCCGATGCCCGAGGTGCGTGTGCGCCGAGTGGAGAGAGACGGGCCCGCTGTGCGCATGTGCGGTCACGGATCGCGACCCCAGAACGGAACCTGGTAAGTCTCTTACAAGCTGCTGGCATATCTTGCTGCTGTGCCACGCCCCTGAGGCAAAAGCACAGCCTCCCCCAAGCTAAAAGGGAATATGATATTTGTTTTCACCCTTTATTGTATCTCTGTGGTGTTGATCTCCTGCAGCATCTTTTTTCCATTTGCTACCGGAACATTTGTTTTTCCATTTTTCTGCACACATGAAAACCTGCATTTGTGGCTAGAAATTTACTAAAAACCACAATGAATGCAGAGGACCTGTAGAAAAGATGATAGCCTGCACAATGGGTGGTGGGATGTGGCAGAGCATAGGACATACATTCAGAAGTGGTTAAAACTACTTTCTGTATACACATATGTACGCCAGTGATGGTTATATGGCATTTTTCAAGGTGGGTTTCCAGATGGTGATAACAGTGGGCCATGCCTACATAATGTTTGTTTAAAGTGTCACTTAATGTCTCCACTGGAAGACTGACAGGGTAACAATGTCAGAGAACAACTGGGTTAACAGGCACTGTGCATTGTTATCGTATAACTGGGGCCTGAACAAGGTTTTCATTGAATAATTATGAGATAATATATTAATAAAAGCTGCCAAATTAAAAATATTGAAAATTGCATTAACATGTTAAAACTTGTTGGTGGTTTTAGTGATTCGGGTTATGTACATGTTAATGTGAATTTTTTATAGGTTGTTGCACATTACATTAAGACATCTTATTAACCATGCGTCATGCTAACATTCAGGTTTTAGTGTAGGTTAATGCAACGCAGAGGCCTTAAAGAACCCTTAAACCTTTAATATATTAATGGCGTTGCTAGTTTGCTAGACTTATCATAGCTTTATATTATAATTTGTAGGTTCACTTTAAAAGAACCTGACAGAATATAGATTATTACCAAACTTTAGCAAATTACTCAACTTCCCTGTTCTGAATCAGAACTTTTTTTTAGTAGACTACCAAATTCTTTCAAAGAATAGTCATTTATCACATATGCTTGTGTATTTATATTGTTCAAAAAAGAACCCATTACATTATACCTCAATGCTTGGAATTTTTTTTACTTACGGTAAAGATGTTATATATACATACTTGAAATGCAGACAGTTTACCATCCTTTGCTGTTGAAATTCATGCAGTGCTATTCAGTTGTGTCAGGTGAAACCTCTCAAGGGACAGATTTCAAAAATATAACCTCAAATTACCTACAAACTTCAAGCAACCCATCTGATACAATGCAAGTGATTGCAGTCTTTACTAATATCATGAGACTGAAGACAATGTCCCTGGGGCCTAAACTCAAACCCTCACTTACACTCTACAAGAATGTTACAAAGTGAACACATTTGTCATTTTATAAGCCAGGAGTAATATAAAATGTAGACAGATTTCCTCAATGGAGCAGTCTTTTCCCCTAAGTATTTATTTCTTGCCTTACAGTTCTCTCCGACTTAGGGCCCCAGCAGTAGCACAAATTCATGAAATAAATCAGTTATAGGGAATGCATGAGGACAGGGGGAATCAATTTACCTGAATGCCATCAAGCAACTTGCTCATGCACCAGTAACTGTCAGCTTCAATGTTCCGCAGCACCTCTTCAGGCAGACTGGAAACATCAACATTTTCCACTTCTTCTTCTTCAGCTAAAATGCACAGAAGAGACAGGATTATAAGCAAAGTGTGCAAGAATTCATAAAAAAAAAAAAAATCTGTCCATTATCACAATCCTGATCTTTGTCAAGACATAGAACAATGGAAAATAAGCTGGGCATACACAGGCATAGTTCTGAACTATTTGGGCAGTTGATGAGAAATCCTTGGAGTAAAACTGCGGAAACATTTTCTTGTAATTGAACTATTTAAACAAACAAATCAATGGAAAGAACGTTTCTCTAATTGACTAACTCTAGATCATTTGGTTTTCACCAACACACATTTTCCATAACCTAATGGGTTCCCACTCTCCCTCTTGTAAAAATCTTCAAACCATACATTACATCCAGATACCAAATAATCCTTGCACATGCTGTCTTCACAAATGCTGTAATGTCTGTACAATGTATTGCCTGTCTTCTGCTAAAAAAAATATCCAGGCAGGTACATTAAGTATTGTAAATATCAACATAGTGCTACTTTAAAGGAGAACTATGGGGTTAGGGCTTTTCCCCATAGTTCTCCTAAGGGTAACGGAAGGACACAAACCATCGTCCTCCTGTCACCAAAAGCTGTCTGGATCCACCCAGCTGCGTGAGTGACAGCTGGCTCTACATATCTAGAGGCAGAGCCAGCTGTGCCCGCCCCCTCCCCGTCCGTTCCGCCAGTCAGCGCTGCAGAATCGGAGTGGGGAGAGGGGGAATCCCTGCAGGGAGCCATGAGTGACAGTCACGGCTCTCTGCATGGATAGATTGAGAAGTGAGCGAGCGACTACCATACCCAAAATTAGCCATAGGCGACGCTTTAAAAGCTGTTATGGCTCATCACTATAGTGGTATCAGTGATTGATTGGCTTAGAATTATTGCTCTCACTGCGACGTTCGCGGTGATATGTAACATGTGCGACGTAATGGATGCAATTGTTGTTTCCGCACGTAGGCACTCTCGACGCATGTTTGCATGTGTATGTGGGGGCGGGGGGACTTAAAAAAACTTTTTTTTATTACCTTTACATGTGACTTTTCATTTTTTTATGTAACTAATTATTTTAAAACTTTTTTTCACTTAGCTTTATTGCTATCAAATAAGGGACTAACAAGCCCCCTTTGTGATAACCAATTTTCAGTGCCAGGTCCTCTTTATGGAGACATCAGGAGTCTTTAAGACGCCTAATGTCACCTAGGGACCCCCAGAGAAACTGATGTAGCAAACGCCTGCTTCACCAGCTTCTCTCCGGTTTCTGTACCGGAGAGTGACAGAGGAATGCGGAAGTGATGCAATACATATCACTTCCTGCATTCCGAAGAGGAGATCAAACAGAGCTTGTGTACTGAACTCTGTTTGATCGCCGGCCGCAGAGCTGCTGTGCTGGTCCCGGGCTCGCACCGGGCACATCGGAGCCCGCCAGCAGCGGCTGCACCTGGGGGGTTCACACCAGTGGGGGCGTTCACATTCCAAGCTGATTTCTCGCTCGTGCGCGCCACCTAGCGGCGGACACGAGCGGGGCGGGACGTTTAAAAACGCCCACCGGCATTCAAGAAGCCGCTGTCCAGCCGTTTAATTACAACGGTCGGACAGCAGGTGGTTAAGAAAAAAAGAAAAACAGGTAATAACACTTTTTTACTGCATTTTTTTTTCTAACAAAAGAAATCTTCCTTTTTTCACATCCCTTCCTTTTTATTGTGCAAATCACTGCAATAAAGGCTAACAACCATAGAAAATATTACATTGGCAACTCATAATTTACATTAAAATCAAACTAAAATAGTTGATCCAGTAAATCTAACATACAAGACACCTTACATATTGGACATATATGAAAATTCCTATACTTGTATAGCATTAGAGGTAATTCAAATTGTATCATATGCCACCTGTTGTGAATGTTTAAGCTATTTTTAGCATTGCATATCAAATTTTGGGTCTTTTGGCAATGACTTTCATGTTATCACCACTCACTGGCATAGCTACAGAAGAGCTCTGACAGGAACCATAGAAAAAGCCCCCATTAGTGCACCCCTTCCCCTTACTGGGAACCCCCATACCGTCCAAATTAGAACTTACACTAATGTAGAGCACATTGGGTAGATGTGCCCAATCTTCCACTATGGAGCTGCGCAGTGATGCATCTCTATGTGATACCTCTGCTTTATCAAGAGATCTGTTGTCAAATGGTCAAGCACAGGAGACACATGGGGAAGGGTCACTAAACCTGCTACCCTGGCCAGTTTTTTCTGCAATGAGGAATCTGACACATCTGCTTGATGAGCTTTGAATTAGTTTAAGTACAAAGTAGGGTAGTAAATAAGCTCTGTTGCACAAATACAGGCTTAAGATGCTTTACACCTCCACAACTGAATAAGGGGCCTGTTCCTAGCTATGATGCTCATTCCAACATCACTGTCATCATTGCACAGCTCTCCATAAGAGCCCATGGCTAATATGATAGATCCCTGTTTCAGCAATGTACCTAGCCCTCATGCATCAGCCACGCAGTGAATGATGCAAAATACAGCAGCTCTGCTTTGCACATGAAGACAAGCTACACAGGCTAAAAAGTATAATGTTACTAGCGTCTGCCAACTCTCTATTGTTGTCTGTTCTTTCTGGAATGCTTGCCTTTAGTTTGTGTCTATATGAAAGGTTTCATATGGGAAATTTTCCCCATATCCTGTCTATTTCATAGATGTTAAAGAAAAAAAAGAGCCCTAGAAGACAAACACTCCAACTGACAGGGACACAGACAGAATAAGACGCATCATTTCTAATGGAGTCAGGTTTTTGAACTATCAGGATTTTATTGCTATTCACAAGGTATATTTTCCCTCACTTTGTCTGCCTGCCACGCGCAAATCTCTTATGTTGTAATAAAATCAGAGATTTGCTTGTGTATCGCCACAACTACAATTTCTATATCCATCAGAGCTTCTCAAACATGTCCTTGTGCCTCAAAAAGAGTGCACATTTTATGAATTTCTTCACAAGAGCATGGGGGAATCTGGCTCAAGCAATGTATTTCTCAGAGAAAAACCACATTTACTTCTGGTGAAGCCTGAAGGCACGATTTAGAGCCTAGGATGCACATATTAAATCTTTCACATATACTAGATAAAGAAAGTAACAAAGGCAAACAAGGCGGGGAAAAAAACTTTGCAAATTATATACTTCATACAGATGCATTCATTTGTTAGCAGTATTTCTCAGCTTCATTCAAATCACACCATGTCACCATGTCACCTAAAAGGATCCAGCTTTTATCTCATCTAATAAGATTTTCTATGTATATAGTTAATACAGAATCAACAATACAGCTATTTATTCCGCATTACATAAAATGCTATTTGCAAAAAGGCAGAGCAGAATGTGAAAGTGCATTCTTATTTAAGGCTTTTGAAAGGTATCTAAATGACGGTATCAATTTCTGTTCACATTTTTAAATATGCCTACTGGCATAGTGACATACAATGACCATAGTACAACAGTGTGTGTGTGTGTGTGTGTGTGTGTGTGTGTGTACACACACACTATATTGCCAAAAGTATTGGGGTGCCTGCCTTTACACGCACATGAACTTTCATGGCATCCCAGTCTTAGTCCGTAGGGTTCATTATTGAGTTGGCCCACCCTTTGCCACTATAACAGCTTCAACTCTTCTGGGAAGACTGTCCACAAGGTTTAGGAGGGCGTCTATGGGAACATTTGACCATTCATCCAGAAGCGCATTTGTGAGGCCAGGTACTTATTTTGGACGAGAAGGCCTGGCTCACAGTCTCCTCTCTAATTCATCCCAAATGTGTTCTATGGGGTTGAGGTCAAGGCTCTGTGCAGGCCAGTCGAGTTCCTCCACCCCAAACTCGCTCATCCATGTCTTTATGGACCTTGCTTTGTGTACTGGTGTGCACTCGTGTTGGAACAGGAAGGGGCCATCCCCATACTGTTCCCACAAAGTTGGGAGCGTGAAATTGTCCAAAATGTCTTGGTATGCTGATGCCTTAAAAGTTCACTTCACTGGAACTAAGGGACCAAGCCCAACCCCTGAAAAACAAAAAGAAAAGCACTCTGCAAACCTCCCCTTAACTTCAAGAAACTGACTCCAGCAGCAGAATCAGACTGACTCTCTAATACCAGTCCCAACCTCTCCGACAAGTCCATCACCCTCTACCAAGAATGTTTAAGGTTGTACTGAACAGTACTGTATTTGAAAATGTTAAAATAAATAATATGTTAAGACAAACATCTGTCCAAGTTGCATTTAAAGCAGAACTCTTTTGTAGTTTTGGTTAGAATGGTGTGGGGTTAGAGCCACTTTGAGCTTTTTAATGCTGTTTGTTTGTTCATTAAACAGATTTAATCTCACTTCCTGTCCTTGAGACAACAGGAAGTGAGAGTAAATCTACCCCTAGGAAGGGAAATGCACTACTCTAAAAGGTGCCCATACACTGTTCGATTCTCGTACGAGAATCGCGGGAAATCCCGCGATCGTACGAGAATCGAACAGTGTGAACGAAGACGTGCGACCGTTTCTACTGTACGGTTGCACGTCTTTTGTCTAAGGAGCATGTTAGAAAACCAGCCGAGAATCGTACGATTTTCGGCTGGTTTGACCGGTGCTCGGGAGACAAATGCTTAACGGGCCCGCGCACACTGCCGGTTCAGCGTTGCGGTCATCGGAAGCCCGCCCCTCAGGGGGGCGGGCTTGCGATGATAGAGAGTGCGATCTGCCTGTCCAAGATGGGCAGATCGTACGTTTTTTAAATCACTTTACAACCATCGCAAGACTAAGGTCTTGCGGTGGTTGTACAGTGTATGGCCACCTTAAGAGTTATCATGGGAATAAGGTGTCTCCACTGAAGCTGTATCACTAATTCTTGTTTCCACTACAACCCAAAATTTTCAAACTCCGATTGTCACAGGGACAGAAAGTGAGGTGAAATATTCTGAACAGGGGCACACAAACACAGCAAAACAAACATTACAGGGG